ATAGGATATTTAATTAAGAAGAAAAGGTATATAATTTTCACTGTGTTGTCTTGTAAGGCATTGGAGATTTCAGTTTTTCGTGAATTTGATTAATATGTATATATTATCTTATATTTCTTACAATTAGTTTTATTATGAAGAAGTGAGTTTAATGGCCCTATTTTTGTTCATTAGTAATTATATACTAAAGCGTAAATTCTCATTAAAAGGCCCTTAAATGCCTGCTCGTAAAAAAGAGAGACCTCTTTGATTTTGTTCTCTATACGATCCCAGTTATTGTATTGAGGCAAGTCATCAAACTCTTTAGTGGTCTAAACCTTTAATTTGGTTTCAGAACAGTAGTCATGTATTGAACACCCAAATTACCAAGTCTTTAACAAGTAATGCAAACACTCCGTATTAAAAACGTAATGACCACAACTTTTTTTGTAAAATTTCTTATGCTAATTTTTTAAAGAGGACTTTTGAATTAAATTTCTCGTGAAGGCCAAAATCTTACACTTTTAATGGTGGGAGAGTGTGTGTATATGTGTAGAGGCGAGGGGGTGGTAATTTTTGTAGTGGTATTTTTAAGTGGACAGTTTACTAATTATGTTGAGGTAAACGCTTTACAACTCTAAAAGGAAAACTTCAATTATCTGAATGAAATGAGGTATATGAAATTAATTCAGATAAGTGGGAGAATCTTTGGTGTAAATGATGCATGTCAAGGGACATGACCTCAATCTTGATTTTTTTTTTTCTTTTTTCTTTTTCTTTGTATCTGTCAGCTGCTTACGAGATTGTGATTCTTTTAGGTCATGTTAGGAATCATTGATGGGGGAGGTAAAGTTACTCTGTAGTTTTGTTTTTTCTTTGCTACATAGGAATCCAGAGTGTGGTATTCTGTGACGAGTATAATTGCTCATCTCTCCCCTGTACTGCCTGCTGTTTTAGGTGGTACACCACAGCCTTCCATTTTGTCACCTTCCTGTCAAACGTGTGTGGGGACTCCTTAAGAATACAACTTGTTTGAAATTAAAGCCACACTCCTTTGTCCAATCTCAGGATGTTTATAATTCCTAAAAGTTGAGTTACAGCAGGTTATAAGAGCAAATTGAGGTAGATGAACCGTGATTCCTTCTCTGTCCTCCTTTGAGTTTAAATATTAAGCAGCTATTTTGCAGTGTAGGCCCTTAAAATAGAAACAAAGGGTTGGGGCATGATGCCTAGCCTTTATAGATCCTAATTTGAAATGAAAATTTTATGGATCGATTAGAGTTTTAGGAAAATGATTATCTGCTGCAAATTACTAAGGTTTGCAGCATTCCTGGGCTCCTGGCATCTGAAAGCTATTGTGTAATCCGTTGAAAGCCTGTGTAGGTGTGATGACATTGTCTTCTAGGCTTTTTTTGTTTTGTGTTTTTTTAAATGGAAGCAAGCTTGTCTCAGCCACAGAGATGTGTACTGACACCTTATAAGTGAATTTACTTTTTTCTGTATTCAGAACACCTGAAAACATGGCTCTTTATTTTCAGTGTGCACCAGCTTCCTTTTCACCTCTTGGTCTTTAAGATACAAGATGATTCATATCTTGATTACCTTGGGTAGGTGGGTATGATATCAGCAAGCTCTGTATCCGGACCTTGTGAGCAATTCCTAGGTCATTGCCTGAGACCTTCTTAAATATATGCAGGCAATGTGACTGCAGATTTTGGGTTTCACAGTCAGTCTAGATTGATTTTGACTCTGGGGCCATTTATGAGCAGCAAGCCTTTGCGGGGAGTTAGTAACTGCTCCAAGTTTCAGTTTTCTCATATCCCGTGGGGTGATTAGTCTTTTTTAGTGTTGTTGTTGTTATTATTATTATTATTATTTTTTTTGTAACTTAGTTGTATTAATCTGTTGTCGTATTCAAATAGTGTGAATTAATGAACTATCTAGAGCATATCATTTTGAAAGAAAGTAGGTTTTGTACTATTTAAAGACAGAGGTAATCAAATTAGTAAAAATCTTTCCAAATAGAAGTCTTTCTCAATAGACTTTAAAACTATATAAGACTCTTGTAGTTATCAGTTTATTTATATACAAATAATACACTCCTGTGTGGTATAGCAAGACAGAGTATGTATTGTACTCTGCAGTCAGACAGACTTGTATGTGGATGATTCATCACTTGGGTAACCTTGGGCAGGATACTTTATGTATTTGATTCAAAGTTTTAGTCTGTAAAACTAGTAATGAAGATTTAAAGAATAGAGATGTAAAGAACAATAAAGGAGGCCGGGTGCAGTGGCTCACGCCTCTAATCCCAGCACTTTGGGAGGCCGAGGTGGGCGGATCACCTGAGGTCAGGAGTTCGAGACCAGCCTGACTAATATGGTGAAACCCCATCTCTAATAAAAATACAAAAAAAAATTAGCCGGGTCTAGTGGTGGGCACCTGTAATCCCAGCTACTTGAGAGGCTGAGGCAGGAGAATCACTTGACCCCAGGAAGTAGAGGTTGCAGTGAGCCGAGATCATGCCATTGCACTCCAACCTGGGCAACAGAGCGAGACTCTGTCTAAAAAAAAAAAAAAAAAAAAAAAAGAAAAAAAGAACAATAAAAGGTAATAAGGACAATAAAAAGGTGGTTGTGAAGACTTAAGAGGAAGGTATGCAAAATACTTGATTATGCCTGAGTCCAATAAATACTGCTAGTTGCTGTTGTGACCTTGGACAAGTAACTTCACCTTTCTTCATCACAGGTTTCCTTATCTGTAGCATAAGTATACAACTAACTAATAGGTTTAGTATGAGGATTAAATGAGATAGTACATGTAAGTGCTGACCAAATATTAATTACTATTGTTGTTTATATTTATATAAACAAATTAGACCAATTTTGATTTCAAGAATTTATACACATATATAGTATATTTATTATATGGGGGATATTCACTATGGATTTGGGGATGGTGACTTATTCATAACTTTCAGTGTTTCCTTGAGATGACAGTTCACAAATCATGGTGTACAAATCCCCAGGGATCACTGAGAGCCTTTCAGGAATGTCCATGAGGTAAAAACCGTTATCATAGTAACACTAACTTTTTGACTTTTCTACTGCTTTGACATTTGCCCTGCTGGTATAAAAGCAATGATCGAAGAAACTAAGCATTCTAGAAATTAAATGGCAGTAAGACCCAACTGTGCTAGTAATCGTAGTATTCTTCACAGCTGTGCATTCACAGAGAAGAGAAAAAGCCACTTTCACTTAAGAATGTCCTTGATGAAGTGATAACAATTGCTGATTTATTAAATTTTGACCCTTAAGCATACTTTATTTTAATATTTGGTGTGATGAGAGGAAATGTGCAAAAAGCATTTCTGCTGCATATCCAGAGTACACTGCCTGTCTAGAGGAAAAATACATATGTCATTTTTCTTTTTGAGTTGCTAGTGAAACTAGCCAAATTTTGCATGAAACATCATTTTTACTTGAAAGAATGAATACCAGACAAACTGTGATTATTCAGACTTAGAAATTTGGCAGTCATTTTCTTGAAAATGAACAAAGTGAGCCTGTCACTTCAAGGAAAACAACTGACAGTATTGTTGCCAATGATAAAATTCAAACTTTCAAGTGAAAATTAAAATTTTAGAAAACTTGTGTTACCTGCTGTGCTACTGTCAGCTTCCCAGTACTTAAAAGATTTTCCTGATGAGATGGGTGGTGATTTTAATGAATGTTGAGTTTTTGCTGTTGTATGACGAATTGTGTCAAGATTTGTAATATCTATATAACTCCATGAACCAATATTTTCAAAGTGACCAGTGTTACACAATTATGGGTGAAAGATCTTTTCAAAAAGCAAGTAACAGAATACAAAGAGGTCGTATGTATGAGATTCCATATTTTGACTAACCCTTAAGAAACTCTTACTTGTCAAGTTTTGGTGTAGTATCAAAAAAGAACATCCACAGTTATCTGAATGGGCTATTAATACGTATACTTCCTTTTCTCTCACTACATATTTGTTTGAGGCCATTTTTTTTCATGTAGCTCAATCAAAACAACATAGCACAACAGATTGAATGTAGACACCAGCATGAGAATCCAGCTGTTTTCTATTAAGCTAGGCATGAAAAAAATTTGCAAAGCTTTTATAACAACATAATTTTTTGCACAAAGCTTTTTTCTGTTTTGAAAACATTGTGTTTTCCTAAAATGTATTGTCTTATTACATATGTTATCTTATTAAGTTTTTAAAATAAATTGATAAATACACTTTTCTTTTTAATATTCTTGATATGATTTATAACTTGGTTAATTTCTAATACGGGTGGAATGTTTGATAAGATTATAGAGGTCCACCATTGATCATAAACAGGTAAGGCTCTTTTTTTTTAGGTGGAATATACCTAACAGTTAATATTTTTAAGAACACAAAGTGGTCCTGACTAAAGAGATTGAAAACTGTTTCTTTAAGGAAAGAAGGCCAGGTTCATCAAATGAACACAGTTCTAAAGTTTTAATTGTTTGAATATTCCTTTGGAATATGGAGTTAATATGTCTGTAGTTTCTTTTTCTGGTTATATCAGTGGACTGCTGTGCCATTTTCCAAATATTCAGAGGGTAAGAAGGTTTTTGTTTTTAAAATGGATGCTACCTGCATGGTTGCCATACCAAATTGAGATATGGTTAATGGTCATTCTTTGTCAGCCTATTCACAGTTGATACCACTCTGTTGGTTGTGAGATATACCTGTGGTTTCAGAGCTGTTCACCATGGCCAATGACTTCAGGATAGTAGTGACTCTAACTTTGCAGGACAGGCAGGAGGATTGCTTAAGCCCAGGAATTTCGAGTCCAGCCTGGTCAACATAGCCAGACCCCATCTCTACAAAAAATTAAAAAAAAAAAGAATTAGCCCAGTGTGGTGATGCACACCGTAGTCCCAGCTACTTGGGAGGTTGAAGTGGGAGGATTTCTTGAGCCCAGGAATTTGAGGCTGCAGTGAGCTATGATTGTGCTGCTGCATTCAGCCTGGGTGACAGAGTCAGACTCTGTCTCTTAAACGGACAAACCAACAAACAAGAAACCAGTTTTCTTTGAAGTCCATACACTAGGCTAATCCATCCTGACATTTTTTTAAGCTATTTTCTAGTAACGTCAATCTACAATTTATGAGTGAATTAATTATCTGCAACAATGTAATATGAATTACAGATGGGTTCTGTAGTGCCATTAATAGTATGAGCGTTTCAGCCTCATAATGGACTAATTAACATCTTTTTGTGTGGAATTATACTTTTGACTTCTAGAAATCTAGCTAAACACATTTCTCTGTTGCAGTCCAGCAGTGACAGGAAGCTCTTCTTTTTCCCTCACAACAGAAACGGGGTTGTTTAAAGCTTTAGTGATAGCAAGAGAGGCATTTTGAAGAAATGCTCAAGAGACACAGATATCTTGGGCATCCCACGTGGTGGTGGGTGATAGGTAACGCTTTCAGATGAAGCAAGTATAGAAACTTTGGGCCAAGTAGCAGTGGTGGAGGGAAAAAATGGATATTCTGGATACTACTTGGTTGGGGGGGTTGATATATTCTCTTTTGGAGCAGATGCTAAAACGTAAGAGATGTTTTAAGTTGGGTGTTGCTAAGTTGGGAAATCCATCTATATAGATAAAATTTTCTTGGGCTCTTGTTATGTGAACTGAACTCAAATAACAAAAAGACAGGCCAGTTGGTAACGTTGAAGAAGTCTTTGGCCAGAAGTTTCAATGTAAAAGGAAAGTGATGAACTTCAGGGGCAATCGTGACCAGGAGGAACAGTGGAAGCCAAGAGGAATGTTGGAATATGCAGACTGTTCACAGGGCCCCAAAACAAATCCACCGTTCAGGAAGGCTGTTAGAGCAGGGACAGAACTGATGATCAGCTGGCATAGTTCAAAGAATGCTGTGACTCAGCCCCTTGCCCACATGTCTTTGGCAGGAAATACTGCCAGACTAGACTGACGTCTAGTACAGGAAGTCCATTACAGAGAATGGTTGATATAAAGCAGAAATTCAGAACCAGGAGAGTTTGGGGACATGGAGCAGGCCAATGTTGGAGAACTGGAATTTGACCTGAAGGTGAACTCCTTGTCTTCTTCCTGCCCAAAGTCAATATTAACTCCTTGGATTGAGGCAAAACTGAGCCAAGAGGGAGGCCAAAGTGACTAGAACTGTCTGCATTGTAGTAACAGGTCTGGCCCAACAAATACTTTCAGTTGAATGCATAGAAGTAAGACAGGAAAACATTATAGTCTTTCCACTTAGGTTCTCCATGTAACATACAGTAGATATCATGTTACCTACTCACTAAAAAAATAATCTAGGCGAGGGGTTTGCAAACTTCTCCTTGGAAAGACCAGGCAGCAACTATTTTAGTCTTTGTGGACCCTATGGACTCTGTTGCACCTACTCAAGTTGGCCACTGTAGTGTGAAAGCAGCTGTAGAAAAATACCTAAATGAAAGAATATAGCCATGTTCCAATAAAGCCTTATTTATGGAAGTGGAAATTTAACTTCATATAATCATCACATGTCACAAAATATTAGTCTTCTTAAAAAACCTGTTTTCAACCATTTAAAAATATAAACTCATTCTTAGATCATAGATGTACAAGAACAGGTTGCATGCTGGATTTCAGTGCCCAGGCAATAGATTGTTGACCCTTTTCAGGCAAATAAATTACTATCAGTCATGATGCTGAAAGCTTAGCAGTGCTGAAATAGATGTTTTCTAGGACTATGCTATTGGTGACACTGTCTTATTTTATAGGTGACACTGATGATAAAAATCCATCCAAGAATTTAGATGTGACATCTGCAGCAGGTTCAAATCTCTCAGCTATAAGACAAACTGGATACTTCCTAAGGATTGCCATCTATTATGCACAGAGCCAAAATCCGTTACTGAAATTGTCTGGGTGAGCCGCCTGCTGGGTCCAGTGATGCACTGGTAGACAAAGGAGTTGAAAAAGAAGTTTGGCATATTCTTTGGATGACTGGCAGAGTGTGACACCAGTATGGCACCAAGCCCTACTATGATTCCAAGGACTTCAGGACTAAAAAAATATATATATATATATGAAAAAAATTTTTGGTGGTATTGGTTGGTGGTGTTCAAGTAAATTTGAGCTTTACTTGGGGAATGTGTATTATATTATCATTCCATAATGTAATTGCTTTAGTAGTCAAGCTTTAAAGATCTTATATTTATGAAACTCATATAGTTATCACCTTTTAGTATTGGGTTATCTCACTCTGAGGGAAATACAGTAAAGAAAAACGTCTTTTGACTAAAAGGGTTGATTGCAGGACTATGATTTTTGTGTGAAAGTGTTTGCTTAGGGGATTCTTGAAATTTTGCCTTCATCTAGAGTATTTAAAATGTTTCTATTTGCAGAAAGCTATTATACTCAGAATTTTCTAGGAAAACGTCCTTTTCAGTGGACTCTTCAATAGTGAAATATCATACTGTACAGTATTAGTGTGCATAGAACAGTTGAATTCATAAATTAATATTTTTGGACCTATTAACTAAATTAAATTCACTTAAAATGATTTGACAAGCAGGTATGAACTGAAAATAAACCTATGTATTTGTATTTTTTAGAAGTATTGAATCAGAAGAAAACTGGAACATCAAAGTATTCTCTGAACCAAACTGATGTTTTATTTGGTTGAGAGTCCTTGCTTTTGGTATACTATTTATACCAGTAATAGAGGATTTGAAAGCAGTGCTGGGAAATGAAGTGTGTGGATTCTCTCAGTGTCGAATTCCATTTTTTCCCTCAGTGAATATTTAACATTTTTAAATCTTAGCATTCAACAAAAACTCTACAGTCTAGATGTAAACCATAGATTACTTTTTATATAGCATGTACAGTTCATCAACAAACAGTAAAGGTTCCCTCATGACTTACCTTGAAATCTTTATTCAAAGCATATACAATTCAATTTGTCATTGTGCCACTGCCACCACTGCATGTTTTTGGTCAGAGTGCAGTGCAACTAACATCGCCATCCTGCTAGGAAAAAGACCTGCAGGTTGCTGGATAGTGGAAGTTGCACACATCTAATTTACAAGTCAGATTAGAGATCAGAATCTTACAATAGCTTTATGTGGAATTGATTTCATTTCATGGTTTTTAAGCTGTTTTTTCATTGAAGCAATGCCTGTAACTGAAAGACAGGTGTGCTGTAGCATTTGAATACCTTAAACTCTTTTGAATCTGGAATGAAAGGGATGTTCTGGATTCTAAAACTCAGAGATTTTGAATTAAATGCCATCATTCATTTATTGTGCCATAATTGAACTACCTTGAGAACTGAATTTGGAATTACTGTGGTTAATATTTGGAAAGCTTTGCCATTTTAAAATATAATTCACTTTAGGAAGGACCACAATTGTGTGCGTGTGTGTGTGTGTTTATTTAAATAGAGCAGCAGGCACCTTTTTACCTTATAGATAAGGTAAATTTAATAAGAATTACGTGGTTTTTAACACTGATATCCCATTCTATTTAAGAAGTCCATTGTGGCCTTTCTGGAAGCCTTCAATAAGGGGAAAGGGACAATGAATAGAACACTGTAGATTGCAGTTTATGTTTTTCCTTTTAAGGCAAACCATTTTCAAAATATAATAATGCCAATGAATACATGAATCTAGATTGATAGATTGAAGTTATTTTAAGTTTACCTGTGTATATTAAAATTGAGAGCCATCTCATAAAAGTGAGTACAAAAAGTTGTTCATTTTAGAGTGTATAGTGTCATTTAATTGAATTAGAGAACACAGTTGCAAAAACACATCTTTTAGATGGTTCTTGAGCCATTAATTGATTTGTTGAATATAATCAAGAAGAAAATTCAGATGTTTAAAACTAGTTTTGTATCAGGTCAAAGGAGTATTTAGCTTTATCCTCCTCCACTCCCTTGTCTGGTGAGTTCTCATAAATTGCTTTCTGAAATGACAAAACATTGGGATTTGGAGAGCCTTGAGAATTCATCAGTTTTATCTTTTTCTCCAGTGTGTTTTACAAAGGTCCCATTTAGTCATGATATTTATAGGATATGAGGAAGACAGTGGACTTTCATGGACTCCAGAAAATATTTTGGAGAAAAATTTATGTAAGGTAAGGGAGTAGTAGCTATACATTGCTGTATTCATTTTATTGTTCTTTCTTTTTTGTTATTGTTACCTTGAAGATCTTGTTGCATACCAATTTACTGTATTCATTTTAGTATAGCTGTGACTATTTAAATGGGTTCCTTTCTAACCTTCCTTCTAACCTCAAAATCCCTGGTTAAGGCTTCTTTTCTTTAAAGAAAGTCAGAGGTAATTTTTTGAATGGAGAAAGTGAGGCTATTCCAGACATTGGGAAATGAGTGGAGTATGAAAGGGAGAATGAGATCTAAATGTGTTGTGATAGATAGTAAGATCGTACATGAACACTCTATTTTTGGATTGAGAAGGGTGCTAGAGTAAGTATATCAATGGAAGAGAGTGGCTTGTTATCGTTATGAACTGTTTAGTGAAAGTCTCCAGTATGCCAGACACTGAGTAAGACATTTTGCATAAATTCAAAGTCTTTCCAAAATCTTGAAAGCAGGTGCAATTATCCCAATTTCCTTACGAGGAAACAAGTTAAATGGTGTATACACAATCTTAGAGTAAGAATTGAAATAGAGAATCCTACAGCTAGTGGCTCATTTTGTGCAGAGACCTTTTCTTTCTGGTGATTGTCTGATAAGTTATTAGTAAATAGAAAAGAAATCTGAAAGGCCAGCATACATGTAGGAAGATTTTAAGATTAACAGCTTTTAACATGAGTGACTTTGTGTTGGTGTTGTAGAATGACATTGGAGCCTCCTTGAGAAGCAGTGACGTATTTGCAGACATATCTGGACACTAGAACTCAACCATCTAATGGGTTGCCTTTATTATTAGTAAAGTATTGTATAGCTGCACTTTCAGGTGTAAGTGATGCCATGGTACAAAACTCATATACGGAGGGCAGGTGATCATGAGCTACCAAAGAAACTGGTATATATCATAAGCTGAATTGGATCAACTCCAAATAGAATCTGTAGAAAAGTACTTGAAAGAGGACTGGTTCAAGCAGTCATCTGATACAAAGCTGACTACCAAACTTTGGGATGCAGGGATGATAACTGGATAATGGTGTCATGAAGCTCATTAAAATGAGAACTGTAAGTGTTTACAGGCTTTATAAGCAGATATATGCAGCTCTGTAACAAAATACCGTCTTGGAAAGGACACTTTCAGCCATTTGGTTAGGAACAAGGCCTTAGCAGCAACACTTTTTTTTTTTGTTTTGTTTTGTTTTTTTTTTTGAGATAGGGTCTCACTCTGCCCAGGTTGGAGTGCAATGATGTGAACATGGCTCACTGCAGCCTCAGCCTCTGGGCTCAAGCAGTCCCCTCGCCTCAGCCTCCTGAGTAGCTGAGACTACAGGCATGTGATAACACCCAGCTAATTTTTTTAGTTTCTGTAGTGATTAGGTTTCGCCATGTTGCCTAGGCTAGCATTTTTAAATGTAAAAGTCAACTGTGCGGTAGGGTGTTGAAGTCAAATTATCTGGTTATGTTTTTTGAGGTATAGAGCAAAATGATATGGGATATTTGGCTTTGCTGTTTGTCCCCCAGGAGGAGTGAAGTAAAGCACAGCCAAGGTGATAGATAGTGTCACGGTGGAGCCTAAATGTGAGTACTGTGGCACCTTGGTGAGGGATGTGGTAATGAAGACAGGACAGGTGAAAATGAATGAAATCATGAACTCAAAATGTTAGAGTGAAAAATACTTTTCTAATTGTTTGAAAATACAGAAAAGAAAAAAGCAAACAGGTCATAGGCAAGCAAATAAGACAGTTGGACAGAGGTAAGATGTAGGAGGGCTATTCAAGAGTGAAGTACAATAGTCCTAGAAAGTTTTACTCAAAGAGGGAGACAACTTGGGAAGAGAGAGCAGAAAAATGATTTAGAAATAGATGTTATTGAAATATGTGAGTGAGCTGCTCAAAGACTGCCAGGAGACAGAGAAAATACTAGATAAGAAGGAACAAATGATCTTGAATATGAAGTTGTATTCCTATCTTATGGTGGTCAAAGGTGACCGGCTAGTTCAGGTAATGGCTTCCCAAGAAAAGACCTGCTGATTGTTGCTATTTGTTCTGTGAACATTTATGGGTATTTCTATAAGCCAAACTTATATCTTATGATACTGGGTGACTTGGATTTGTGATTTAGAATCTGACTTAGGCTGTAAGTTTGTTATGATTATTATCCGTATTATTTTCAGCTTTTGGGCAAAAGATTACACTTTACATTAACTGGCTATCCTTGCCATCGTCTAGAAGTAAGATATCAGATGTGACTTTAAAAATTAACTTTATGGACTGGATGCGATGCTCATGTCTGTAATCTTAGCTCTTTGGGAGGCTGAAGCGGGTGGATTACCTGAGGTCGGAGTTCCAGACCAGCCTGGCCAAAATGGTGAAACCCCATCTCTATTAAAAATACCAAAATTAGCCGGGGATGGCGGTGCGTGCCTGTAATTCCAGCTACTTGGGAAGTTGAGGCACAAGGATCCCTTGAACCCAGGAGGCGGAGGTTACAGTGAGCCGAGATCACTCCACTGCACTCCAGCCTGGGCGATAGAGTGAGACCCTGTCTCAAAATAAATAAATAAATAAGTAAATAATTAAAATTAACTTTATGGAGTATAATTTATATCCAATAAAGTGAACCATTTTTTTTTTGAGATGGAGTCTCGCTCTGTCGCCCAGGCTGGAGTGCAGTGGTGCAATCTCTGCTCACTGCAAGTGCCGCCTCCCGGGTTCATGCCATTCTCCTGCCTCAACCTCCCGAGTACCTGTGACTACAGGCGTCTGCCACCACGCCTGGCTAATTTTTTTTGTGTGTTTTTAGTAGAGACAGGGTTTTACCATGTTAGCCAGGATGGTCTCCATCTCCTGACCTCGTGACCCTCCCATCTTGGCCTCCCAAAGTGCTGGGATTACAGGCCTGAGCCACCATGCCCGGCCGTAGTGAACCAGTTTTTAAGTGAATTTTGACATGTGTATACACCCATGTTAACTATCCCCCATTCAAAAAATAGAACATTTTATAATCTCTGAAAGTTCCCTTACACACTGTTTTATTTATTTATTTAATTATTTATTTGAGACAGAGCCTGGCTCTGTCACCCAGACTGGAGTGCAGTGGCATTATCTCTGCTCACTGCAAGCTCCGCCTCCTGGGTTCATGCCATTCTCCTGCCCTCAGCCTCCCGAGTGCCTGGGACTACAGGCAGCTGCCACCATGCCTTGCTAATTGTTTGTATTTTTTTTTTTTTTTTTGAGACGGAGTCTCGCTCTGTAGCCCAGGCTGGAGTGCAGTGGCCGGATCTCAGCTCACTGCAAGCTCCGCCTCCCGGGTTCACGCCATTCTCCCGCCTCAGCCTCCAGAGTAGCTGGGACTACAGGCGCCCGCCACCTCGCCCGGCTAGTTTTTTGTATTTCTTTAGTAGAGACGGGGTTTCACTGTGTTAACCAGGATGGTCTCGATCTCCTGAGCTCGTGATCTGCCCGCCTTAGCTTCCCAAAGTGCTGGGATTACAGGCATGAGCCACTGCGCCCGGCCCCCTTAACGCACTTTCTATCAGGCCTTCCCTTTCCTCATCTCCCCACAGGCAGCCAGTGTTCTGATTTCTATTTCCATAGATTAGGTTAGCCTGTTCTTGAGCTTCATATATATGAGATGATAGAATATATACTCTTTTGTATCTGACTTCTTTTCCTCAACATAATGTTTTTGAGATGAATCCATGTTGTTGCATGTATTAGTGGTTCATTCTGTTTTGTTGCTGAGCAATGTTTTATTTTATTGTAATTTGTTTACCATTCTTCAGTTAATGAGCATATGACTGTTTTTCTATTTATTGGCTATTGCAAATCATATTACTATAAACAGAATTTTTTATAAGTCGTTTTATGAACATGTATTCCATTTTCTCTGGGTTAAATACGTAAGAGTGAAATTATTCTTTTATAGGATTGGTACATTTTAATTTTATAAGTATATGTATAACTTTACATGTATAACTTTTCCTAAATGGTTATACCCATTTCTACCATGCATTGTTAGTTCGAGTTTGTAGATGTCTGTGTTTTGTACTAAGAATAAATATTGGTTTGTACTAAGTGGTTCTTAGAAAGCCAGAGAGCCTGTAGGAATATTCTTCATGTAATAGCTGAAATCTAGTATATTTTAAAGATACATCTATTTTTTTAAAAAAGCCCTAATGATAATAAGATTGATTATTAAGTGTATATGAAATTATTGATAAGTAGATATGCAGTTACTGACCTGGTTGGTTGCACAGAATTTCTCATTTTCATTTTGCAGGTAGCCTGTTTTAATCTAGATTCTAATGTGGACATTTTCCATTGTAAACAGTTGACTCTTCACAAAATGTATATTTAATTAAATATGAATAATATTCATCTTTAAGGTAAAATTTGTATGACCAGTTGAAGAATCTCCTTTTTTCTTTTTCCTTGATATGTTTAGTCAGTACTTTCCCCCTCATGTTTTCGTAAATCTGTATTTCACATTGAGTTGCTTAAAATGAGAGGTCTCATAATAGGTAAGTGGTAAATGTAGGGGGATTATACACTTTTGATAATAGAATGATGACCAGGAGTTGTTTGTTTCAGTATTTTTGCTACAGCTCCAAAGCTGAAACCAAAGGGTAGTAAGTAACCCTGCTTTCTAAAGAGGGATGTGGGGCTTAGTGAAAGAGAGTAGACTTGATTCACCCACAACCCCTGTTTCCCGCATATAGGAGAAATTAGAAGAGAGATTAAAAGTGTCATTCAAATGGAGCTGTTAATCTAGTGAGGAGTTAGTTTTGTGATATTTCTCTGTTTCTCCCCAAATGGACCTTTTGTTTCCAACCCAGGATTTGGATTTGTCTGCCAGAAATGTAGATTGATTATGTAATTTGTCTAGATGTTTAATGAGCTGCAGAATCTTGTTTCCTTATGCTGCAGTGGCACCTTCCAGAGAGTTTTTGAGAAAACGTGATTGTAGTCCATTTTCACACTGCTAT